GAAGGAGAGGATGGAGATGGTGATCAGGATGGATGTGAGCTGGGCTGTAGAGTCAGGTGTAGCTGTAGTAAAAAGCTTTCTCAGGATATTGCTTCAAAAACTGAAAGAAACACTTTCCTATTAATACTCTTAGAATGCTAGACCTATTCTATGGACCTCATAGGGAGAAGTGGGTTTAAGATCTTTCCCTACCTTCCTGGGCACCATCTAATCTCCACCAAGACCAAAGGTCAAGCAACTGTTTATGGAGGGAAGGCTGGAGAGAGGATAGTGACTCACTGACTGACTGATCAATTCATTCATTCACAAAGTGAATGCCTTTTCCTTTTAAAGACAAGGTCTTGCTATGTAGCCCAGGCTGACCTCAAACTTGTGGTGATCCTCCTGCTTCAGCCTTCTGAATGTTAGGATCATAGACATGCACCACCCCACCTGGCAGTGAATGTCTTTTTGAGAGGAAGGAGGATTGAATATATTGTCATTGGGACAAGATGGAAGACAGCTCTTCATTTATTCAGCCTAAGTTTCATTTATTTCTCTCTGAAGTTATTGAAAGATTTTCAATGAACATTTCCTGTGATGCTGTGTGTATGTGTCAGGGACTGCTTTAGGTGCGGGGAATACTGAAATGCATCAGATCCACAATGGTGACAATGAATTTAAAGCCTGGATATTTCTTTTCATGCTTTTGGCTTTTGTTTTACCAAAAGGGAAACTATTTCTTCTGGGACAGAGTAGACAAATGTGCAGCAGTTGAACAGAATTGCATTTGCTTTCCAGCTGTTGTGCCAGCTGTGCTGCACCAACAGATCCCTCCAGCTGTCTCACTCCTGCTCCCACCAATCCAGAATCAAGATATTTTTATACTCAGCTCCTGGTGTAACCTGGTAGGGGATAGACTCTTTGACACTGAATTTGGAACCAAACACATTCTATATTTTTTGAAACCCATGTACAAGGTGGCTGCTTCAATAAGAACAGACACCAGCCGTGAAGTGGCCCAGGGATTTCTCAGTGGAGGAGTTGAGCTTTTCACCTCAGATGAAGAATCACGGACTCAGGGAGGATGCAGGATTGACCCAGAGTCGTCCTTCACACAAAGGACAGGCCAGGGATCCTCGAGTCTCCTAGCTCCGGATTTAGGGTCTTTTTGTGAAGCCAGTTGAGATATCACCTGCCAAATGAACACCACTTTTAATCTCCCTCTTCAAGGGGCTGCTGGTTGTGCAGCTCATGTGTGTTCATTAGGATGGTTTCTGGGTGGTTGACACTCATCACCCTCAACTTCATTTTTTTCCTTTGCAAAATGGCTTTGCCCAGAGCCAGCATCTCTTTTCCAAAAAGTTAACGTGCCAGAAGGGGGTTTGGAAACTGTCTTTCTAGCTGCCAGATGATTCACAGCAACACACCGATGCACGTAATGAGGATACCTGATTGGATTACCAATTAGCCTCCTCCACTTCAGAGAGTGGTTGGAAAGAGGAGCACAGGCAGTGTTTAGTTTGGGCAAATACCAAAAAGGCTTTATCACACTCATCCGGGCATCAGAGTAGCACACTAGACCTCTTGCAAGCCATTCTACTGAACCACTCTCTCCAGATGCCCCAGCAAGAGTGGACTTGTTATGCAAACATAAGGTTATTGTGTCTGAGCTACAGAAGCACCTCTGTGTCGGTGAGAGGGAGACGCTGGCTGCCTTGCATCTGTTTTTAATGCTGTCTCTGCTGCTAGGAAATTTTGGGAGCTGCCAGTAAAATTTTCCCTTCAAAAACAAGGCTGACCTAGAATGTGTTATCTTCCCTTCACCAGAGGGAAGAGCTTCAGTTCTAGAGAGCCCTAGGAGGGACAGGCAGGTGTTTTCTCCATCTGGACCCAACAGAAAGGATCCCAGTGTGGGATCTCTGGAATCTTCTTGGAAATAAGCACAAGCATGGCAATGTTAGCACTGGCACAGGGGAGGGAGGTTCCCTTACCCCTGTGGGCACAGGCACCTGGATGCTGGTGTGCTCAGGAGCCTAGAGGGCAAAGAGCAAGCCTTCCTCTATGGAGGTCATGATGGGATGGACCGTGCCTTTGGGAGAGTTTGGAAAGGGCAGCCGCCCTAGCATTCCAGAGGCTGGATGAGGCTGCTGGGGTTGCCTGGCGTGATGGAAAAGGAACCCGTTCTGCAGGTGTGTGCAGCCCAGGCCCTAGGCACAGGGCTTGGTGACGCTTGGTCTACTTTCCCTGTGCACTAGATGCCTCTGGATGTTCAGCAGGTACAGCCATACCCTGGGACCAAGTACAGGAACAGCTTAGTGACTCAGGGGCTTAGGGACGGAGGGGAAGGAAGCTATATTTTTCTCAGGTACTTGTAAAGATGAAGGCATTTCTATAAATGACTATAAAGGCTTAAAGAAACCCCACTTTCCCCCCACTGTCCTCACACTCAGTGTAAAACACTTCTGTGACAGAATGTGTAGAGGATTCCCCCATCAAGCAAATCTAGCACATTGCAGTGCAGTATCCTGTACTTCAATCCAGTTCTGAATTATCCGCCTGGAGACAGTGCTAGTGTTCCACGGCTGGGGCTCAGTCCCACAAGACTGCTCCCACTTCTGAGGCTGATCACAAGTCCCAGTGTGTGGCCTGTGCTCCAGACCAACTGACTAGAAACTGGGGTTTCTATGACTCTCTTTGAGTTGACTAGTTTGTTAGGATGGCTCACAGAATTCAGAGAAACGCTGAAATTTGCTGGTTTGTGAGGATTTTATACAGGACAGAGATGGACAGCCGGAAGTCTAGGAGTTGGATGTGTAGCACTGCCAGGCTCTCTTTGGGGCTGCCACCCCCAGCACCTCTGCAGAGCTTGATCTCCATTGTTCTCCTCCCCTCTTCCTGGAGACCATGAGTGGGGCTGGGAGGTCCAACCCTTTTATCCCCCAGTCCTTTAGTCCTTCTGAGGACTGGCCCGGACTTGAGCCCTATCTAAGTCTTTTTTTTTTCCAGTACTGAGGATCGAACTCGGTACCTTGCACTCGCGAGGCAGGTGGTGGCACCACTAAGCTCAATCCCTGGCCCATCTAAGAGTCGTACCTTAAGTCACCTCAGTATAAACTCAGTTGTTATCTAAGGAGCTCCCTATGAATAAGAAAAGACACTCCTGTCACCCTGGAAATTCTATGGGTTTTAGCTCTGTGATAGAGACCAGGCATAGAAATCAAATACATTTAGTATATATTTCATATGTTACCTTCTCCATTTCCAAGGCAAAGGGGCCAGGAGTAGGACAAGCCACTAGCTAGAGTGGATGCTAAAAGGCACCTTGCCCCGGCATGATATACATGCATACAACACAGATATACATATCTTCATACAGAGGTACAAGCACTTATATGTGCATACATGTATGTATATGTACAGTCTCATATACATGCATGTGTGTATAACCACAGACATGCATAGCTGTGCACATACACTAGTATGTACACGTATGTCTCATACACAAACACTGACACACATAGACATTCATAGGCCTGCATGCATTGATAGGCTTGCACAGTTGCACACATATACATGGACTCACATGGGCTTATAAACAAATATACATGTTACAACTACCCATTCAGAGACACATGTGCTCTTACACACATGCGCACCTCAGGTACACACTAGAGACTTCAGGCTGCCATCTTGTCAGCCACAGCCCTGGCATTCTGTTCTAATCAGTGTCCCGTTAGGAGGATATCAGAGAGTAGGTGTGTGCCTGTCTGCCATGATTGGTTCCTGTCTGCGGGACTCCAGGATTACCTTGGGGACTGTGCCGGTATGACGTCAGAATTAGAAGAGTGTCGCTGCCTTACAGTGCAAAGGGTTGGGGCAGAAAAAGCAAGGCTCCAACTCATGGTTTGTGAGTGTGAACGGTGCCTTTGGGGAGAGGGAGAGAATGTTGGGAGGAGGAGAGGAGGGAATTCGATTTTGATCATCTTGGCTTTAAACAGAGAAGCTGCAAACAGAATGGGGTTATTGATCTAAATATTTAATTTATGCTTACAAGAATTCCACCATATCTGCTTTAAGGAGAGATGGGGGAGGATGGAGTGGGGAGAAGCTGACTGATTTAAACAGAGGGTTTTGTCCCGCAGTGTGCGTGGAATGAAAGGTCTACTCCTTGTATCTGCCTGTGGGCTCTTAGCTTCCACATCCTTGCTGAGTGTGAGCTTCTCACAGCCCGAGTGTGACTCTGCTGTGAACAGAGATGCCTCCTTCCTCACACAATCTGCCCCCCCCGCTTGCCAGCTCCTCCATCCAGAGCTCTTGCAGGACAGTGGCTGACTGGGCTGCCCTTTCTGGAGAGCAGCCTGTCTTTCTCCAGCACGGTGCCTCCCTTGGGAGTTTCAGGGGCAATTTGGACTCTCAGCAATCACTACATTAAGAGCTCCCTTCAGATCAAAGTCCCCATGGGCCCTGTGGCGGCTGCTGCCTGCCGCCCTGTGCGCACTGTGCTCTCAGATAAGCACTCTCGTCCCTCCTTGACTGTCAGCTCCTTCACCTGAGACTTCGAGGGAGGCTGAGTCACAGGAGGTATGGCCCTGCCCTGCCTCGGCTCACTGCCAGGAGACATGGAGGTTCTTTCCCCTCTGTGATAAGGCCTTGGGTTTGGCCTGGCCTCGAGCTGGAAATGACTCTCTGGGGACATTTCCAGCGGGCTGGGTACCCAGGCTCCCCTGCCCAGGAGGGTGAAGGCTGGGTTCTGACTCCAGTGGTGTCTTCCCCAGCTGTGTGTCACTTCGTGCTGCTGCCAGGGAGAGAAAAGCACCACACCGCTGGCAGTGTGTGTGGATGCGGCAAACCCTTAAAACCTGCAGCGAGAACATTAATCCCACTGACATTGTCATTGGAAACACTGCCGGTCTCTCATTTCCAATGAACGGTTTACATCATGTCTGCCATGTGATCCTGGACGTGAACCACACGAAAGCACTTGGGAGGGGGACCCCATGCACCCCAGGGATGGTTACCTTGTCCTGCTGGTGGTGCCTGCACATTCCAGGGACTTGTGGGGACCTGGCTGCAGCCTGACGTCCCCAGGCTGCCCAGGCTTTCCTGACTTCCCAGACCTTTTCTTCCTGTAATTGGAGGCAGAAGGCCCAGTGGTGGGGCTGTATCCTCGGATAGGGCATTCTCATCTTCAAAGCAAAGGGGAAAAAGATATGAGTGAGAAAACTTCTAAATGAGCAGGTAGGAGAGTGAATTTCTTTCCTAACTTGGTGTGAGTCCCCAGAGTTGAGGATGGTATATTCATTCATTCTCAGGTTTGTTCCTTTTTTGCAGTCCAGCTAAGAAGAAGCGAGCAAATATATCTTATGGCCAAGATGAAATTGCTTGTGGGAAAGTCATGTGGGGAGTTGCCCAGAACTAGGAGGAACTGAGGACTGGTGGTTGTCATTCTCTTCTCATGGATGAGAGTCTGAGCTAGAAATAAGGTAAAAGAGGTTACAAACTTCCTCCATGCCCAGTCTGTGGGCTCTGCTTTGGGAGGCCCCTGCTTTAGAGATGACTGGATACAGATTTCTGACCACAAAGCAATTCTGCTAGGTAGGAGCCCATGATCACATTCCCTCCTCAAGGGACTGGCTCCAGACACCCCGTAGATACCCAAGTCCTCAGACGCCCAAGTCTCTCTTACAAAATGGTGTAGTACTTGCATATAACCTACATACATCCTCTAGTATATTCTAAATCATCTCTAGAGGACTTATAATACCAAATATAATGTAAATGCTATGAAAATAGTTGTGACACTGTATTGTTAAGAGAGAATAATGACAAGAAAAAAAGTATATAACTGTTCAGTGCAGATGCAATTTAGTTTGATTCTTGGTTGGTTGAATCTGTGGATGCAGAACTTGGAGAACCAACTCTATTATCCTCCAGTGGGGCAGTCAGGACGTGGACAAAACCCTCCAAGCACATTGTACCCTCTGCCCCTGTTCTCTTTTCAAACCAGCAGATTCTGCTCTAGCAAGATTGAAATCAGGAGCCCAAGGGAGTGAGGCACACACTTCCTCTTTTTGAGGGTGTGGTCTTTATTATTTCATATTCTACACAACTATTGTTATTTGGATTTAAACTGGCTTTGCATACAGTCTCAAAATATCACTGACTATTTATTAAGAAGGGGAAAAGTATCTTTACAGCAGGCAAATTTGGCAAACAGCACCTTTAACCAAATAATGAAATTTAACATTACCTATAATGGAACAAAGTGACATTTTGTGTCCCTTGATAAAATATGCCAAGAAGGACATCACATTACCTATGTGATATACTAGCCAAAAATGTTTGATTAGAATCTTATTACCAGAAACAGACAAATTGAGGGGTGATTCTGTTAAGCTATTGGGCTATCTTCTTAAAAAAATGTCAATGTCTCTGGTGGTGCATTCCTGTAATCCCAGCTCTCAGGCTGAGGTAGGAGGATTGCCCCAAGTTCAAGGCCAACCTGAACTACATAGTGAGACTCTGTCTCAAACAAACAAACAATCAAACGTACAAGCCTAGAGAACTTTTCTACATTAATAGAGTCTAAAGTGGCAACTAAAAGCAATTAATGACCCTGAGTTGATTCTGGATTGGAAAAAATGATATGGAACTTTATTGGTGAAATTAGAGAAATTTGAAAATGAAGCCAGGTGTGGTGGTGCACACCTATAATTCCAGCATTTGGGAAGATGAGGCAGGAGGATTGTCATGAGTTTGAGGCCAGGCTGGGCTATCTACTGAATTCAAGGTCAGCCTGAATTGCACAGTGAGACCCTGTCTCAAAAAAAAGGACTATACATTAGAAGATTGTATTACAGGCATGCTAGAGTGATAATTGTAGTTAAGATTAACATATTGCTCTTAGGCAATATGTGCTGATAAGTGACCAAATGTCTTACTCTCTTACAATGTCTGTGAGTAAGAAACTATTGTCTTACTCTTAGCTCAATGGTGAAATAAAGTGTGCATGTCTATACGTGCAGACATGAAGGCTGGTTTCATTCTGGTACTATTAAGGTGGAACAATTCAGGGCTAAGCAAGCAATGGGCTTGTGCCTCCTCTGTGGCCACTAGACAGCTCTAAACATCCAGGCACCAGGGACCTCAGGGAGACTGAATGCCTGGAAGATGTGCCTCTTCTCATACTTTCCTTGTGCAGTTCCTGCCAGGGTAGATTGCACTTGGAACTAATCCCCAGTCACAAATCAGAGATTTATTAAACCAGCTTCCACTTGGCAGGATGGCAGGAGATGGGCAAGCTGTAGATCCTCAGCCGTGGTAGAAGCAGCTCAAAGAGCGGGGGTGTGTGGGGGAGCCCACAATGAGCAACACTGAAGACGAGGTTCACTCCCACCATCACCACCTTGAGGGCTTTGGCTCTGCATCTGACATGGTGTCCCACGGGGTAATGCTGCCTTCTTACCTGGTGTGCACAGAGTGACCACTGCCCATTTGGGGTTTTTGTTTGTTTTGTTTTTTTGGAACCATTTGGGGTTTTTGAAAAAGGAAACCTCAGTGCCTTGAGGATGATTAACACTCACTTGAGAGATAGATTAGAGATAAGACTTGTGCCCAAATAATTAACCAAAGGATAGTTTCAAAACTGCGAATTAATGCCTGCCTCCCAAGTACAAGGTCCTGAGTTCATCCCTGGTACAAAAAAACAAAACAAAAAACAAAAAAAAGCTGTGAATTTCAAGAACACCCTGCCCTGGAGCATTGCTGTGTTTATTCTGTCTGAGGCAATTTGCCACAGCGTCTGAAAAGCTGGGATTCCTGCACCAGAAAGGCTGATCTCTAGTCCCAGAAAGGCCATGTTGGACTTATCTCTCAGGGCTCCTGCTTTCTGAACTGCAAAATGAGCATAGGATTGTTGTGAGGAGTAGCTAAGATAATATATATTCAAAACAAGATCAGAGCTGGGTGTGGTGGCATATGCCTGTGCCAGGTACTTGGGAGGCTGAGACAGGAAAATGTCAAGTTCCAGGATATACTGGGGAACTTAGTGAGACCCTGAAACAAACAAACAAACAAACAAACAAACAAACAAACAGGCTGATTGTGTTGGTACTTGACTGTAATCTTAGCACTCTGAGGGTCTGAGGCAGAAAGTTCAAGCCCAGTCTGGGCAATTTACTGACTTAGATTCTGTTTCAAGATAAAAAATAAAAAAGGGCTTGGATATAATTCAGTAGTACAGTTCTTGCCTAGTGTGTCCTAGGCCTTGGTTCAACCCCTAGCACCCCCCAACAAATAAGACAAACAAACAAAAAACCCAAGATCAGTGCTTGGCAGGGAGGGAGAACTTCGTATTAGCTGACATGTGTCTTTCTGCTTCTAGTACCTCTGGTCAGAGATCACTGGAAATCTGCTACCTGGTTGCTTTGCCTGTGTCTTTCAGAAAGGAGGCTCAGTTTTCTGAAAACTGAGAGCTACCTAAATATGGCCCATATTACTTCCAACCTACATCGCACATTAAAATATGAATGTAGATGAACCCATTGTATAATTTCAAAAGACCATAGGATGCTTCAAAAAATTGGAGTAAAGCATTTCATCGATATTATGACTTTTAAATAAATCAACATATATTCATAAAGAGATTAGATAGGAAATTTCATTGCTTAAAAACAAGATTAACTATAAAGCTTGCAGCAATTTTTTAGTGAATTTGGTGCCATATTAAATCTGTAACCAGAAAACAACAGGGGATGATTCAGTGAGAAAATTTGCAAGCTAGATACAGAGTCAGTTGTGCTGAAGCACTTTGGTAAGGCAGCTTGCTGCCTGAGCAAGAGGCATCTTCTCATGGCTGGGATGAGCTGACCTCCCTTCTGGCCTCCTGCTTCCTAGCTGAGGGCCCCTGTATGTCTTGCCCCCTTCCCTTCAGACAGATCCCTGTGGGATGCTGGTGGGAGGCAGGAGCTACCTGGGGGTGAGGGAGTTTGTCTGCTCAGGTGCACTGGGAGACGGACTCTGATGGCCCTGGGCCTTTTGGAGGATGTGTGCTTCAGGGGAGGACCCCATAAAGGCCTGGCCACTTCTGCTTCTGGTTCTGACTCAGGATGTGGAGCACCTAGGAGGCAAAGAGAAAGCCAAATTGGAGTTGTGTCTCTCTTTTTGGATGGGGACTCATCCCCCCACTGCTCATAGTGTGTGGTCTGGGTGAGGCTGTGTAGGTTTCCTGTCTCACGGGATGGGCATATGCCTGAAGCCTGGATTTTGAAAGGACCTCTATTGCCCTAGCCACATGATTGCTTCCATAGTGGGAAGGTGACTAAGGCCTGGCCAATCAGAGCATGCTTGGCACTTTGGCAGAAACTTTCAAGAGGCAAATCCTTTTTGCTGAGCTGAGCAGGTCATGAGTCAGCATGAAGCTGTAGGAAGGCATCTATGTGGCACATGGTAAGAGTTATGGGAGGGCTGGGGATGTAGCTCAGTGGCACCGAACCTGGCTGTAAAGTGCAAGGTCCTGAGTTTGATCACCCGTACCAAAAAAAAAAGAGTCATGAGGAGGAGAGGCTCATAGAGCTGAGAGATTTAGCCAAGTGCTGCCCAATGAGATTTTCTTTTATCATGTATGTTTGCAATACATTACAGTAATATTCATTTTGAAAAACTAGTACATGTGTGCAACATATCTTAATCATTTCCGATCCCTTTATCCCTCTTTTCCTTACCTCTCCCCTCCCCAGGCCCCATTCCCATCTGCTAAAAGTCTGCCTTCTTATTTCCTACCATCTCTCCTTTATTTTACTCATTTATTACTTATATTTTATGTTTCTCATACAAGAGAAACCATGGAATATTTAATGTTCTGTGTCTGACTTATTTCACTTAGCATTAGGTGTCTAATTCCACACATTTTTTTTCGCAAATGACAAGATTTAATTCCTCTGTATGGCTGAATAATATTCCATTGTATATGGATGCCACTTTTCCTTTAGGAATTTTTCTGTTGATGGGCACCAGATGATATTTTCTGAGGTCTGCATTCAACTGGTCTTGGAGTTAGCTGATTCTTGTATGAGCTAACTCTTTTCCCTCTCTGCTACCTTTCCCTCTCTCCCTCCCTCCGTCTCTTCTCTCCTTCCTTCCTAACATGGTTTAAGGTAGGCTTCTGACACTTGTAAGAGTCCTCACTGACATGTAGAAGAAGGAAGGACCTGGTAGATTCACTGCCTTTATGCTTTATTCTTGTTTTTCACGTGGCCGTGTGCTGACAAGCTCACTCTCTGCAATAGTTTTAAGAATCTGGCCTGGTGGTCTTCCCAACATACCTGTCAGTATTATTGTGGAAAACAATCAGATTTGACCCACTCTTGTGAATAGTCATTTCAAGTATGTCTTTTTGTTTGATGTTTCAACACCTGGGCCTATTGATTGTCCTTCCCATGGCAAACCAATTTCTAGAGATACTAAATGACTTGCCAGTGAGAATACTTGTCATGTCCAAGGCAACCAACTCAGAGTTCCTAACCTCTAATTACTTCCTTTATTGAGCAATCATATGCATGGACAACTAACCCCCGCTATGATCACCCCAGGGCCAGTACCAGACAATTAGGGATAGCCACCTCAATACCCTAGAGCCCACCTCAATATTCAAACTAGTCAATCCTCAATCTGCTTAGCCTATTTGCCCTGCTTTCCTACTACAAAAACCACAGTAAAGGTTCTGACCATACCCACCCCCCTTTTGCCTCCTGCGTGGGATGACATGCTCCTTTTCTTGGAACTGGGGGTAACAAATTATATTTTCAGCACAATTGTCTCCTGATCTCCTGTCTTCACCATACTTGGAAAATAAGACCTACATTAAAAAATGTGTTGTCACTGTTGTTGTTTTAAGGAGCTGAGTAATTTTTTTTGAAAAGTTAAAAAGTACATAAAGCAGAATGTAAGGATCTTAAGAATGCAATTCAATGAATTTTGACAAATAGATTTATTCACACAACCAACCAAGATTTAGTCATTTTCATCACCCTAGACAGCTCTCTTTTGCCCCCTTGCATTGAGTGGTCTCATACTCAATAGTTGGACATTCTTCTTCATAGTGAGAATTTCTTTTTTTTTTTTTTAATTACTTAAATTCTTTTATTGGTACATT